AAAACAATCTTTAAAAAGAATGAAGCTGGAGGACTCACACTTCCTGATTTCAAAACTTACTACAAAGCTATAGTAATCAAAACAATGTAGCACTGGCATTAAGACCAACATACAGACCAATGGAATAGAATAGAGAGTTCAGAAATAAACCCTCATAGATGTGGTCAAATGATTTTTGACAATGGTGCCAAGACCATTCAATGGAGAAAGAAAAGCCTTTTCAACAAATGCTGCTGGGAAAACTGAATATCCACATGAAAAAGAATAAAGTTGGACCCTTATCAAACACCATATATAAAAATTAACTCAAAATAGATCCAAGACCTAAATGTAAGACCTAAAGCTAAATAAAACTCTTAGAAGAAAACATAGGGCAAAAGCTTCATGATGTTGGATTTGGCAATGATTTCTTTTGTGATATGACACAAAAGGCACAGACAACAAAAGAAAAAAAATCGACCAATTGGACTTCATGAAAATTAAAAAATTTTTTGCAACAAAACACAATATCAACAGAGTAAAAAGGCAACTCACAATGGGAGAAATATCTGCAAGTCGTATATCTTATAAGGAATTAATATACAGAATATATAGACAAAACTCAAAAACCACAAAAAAAACCTATTTCAAAAATGCACAAAGAATTTGAATAGAGATTTCTCCAAAGAAGATATACAAATGGCCAATAAGCACATGAAAAGATGCTCAACATCACTAATCATTAAGGAAACACAAATCAAAAGTACGAGATATCACCTCACACGCATTAGGATGGCTATCAAAAAAACAGAAAATAACAGGGGTTGACAAGGATGCAGAGAAATTGGAACATGTGCATTCTTAGTGGGAATATAAAATGGTGTAGCCGCTATGGGAAAGAGTATGGTGGTTCCCCAAAAAGTTAAAAATAGAATTACTATATAGTCCAGCAATTCCACTTCTTGGTATATACCCAAAGGAATTGAAAGCAAGGTCTTAAAAAGATATTTGTACATCCACGTTCATAGCATTGCTATTCACAATAGCTAAAATGTGAAAGCAATCCAGTGTCCATCAATGGATGAATGGATAAGCAAAATGTGGCATATACACACAAAGGAATATTGTATACATACATACAACATTATGTTCCTTAATAAGGAAGAAAATCCTGCAGTGTGTGTACAACATGGATGAACCTTGTGGACATTATGTCAAGGGAAATAAGCCAGTTACAAAAAGACAACTACTGTATGATTCCACTTATAAGAAGTATCTAGTCAAAACCAGAGACACAAAAAGTAGAACAGTGGTTGCCAGGGGCTATGGGGAGGGGAGAATGGGGAGTTCTTTTTTAATGGATATAGAGTTTCAGTTTTACAAGATGAAAAGAGTTGTGGAGATGGATGGTGGTGATGGTTGCACAACATTATGAATTTATTTAATGTCATTGAATTGTTCACTTAAAAATGGTTAAGATGATAAAAGAAAATACGTGCAGGATCTGCATGCTTTAAACCTCAAACAGTGGTTTAAAAAATCAAAGACCTAAAGAAATGGAAAGACAGACTGTGTTCATGAATTGGAAAACTCAGTGTTTTTAAGATGTAAATTCTCCCCAATTTGATTCATAGATTCACTGTAATTCCAATCAAAATCATAGCAAGCTTTTCTGTAGCTATCCACAAACTCTCTATAATTAATATGGAAGGGCAAAGAAACTAGAATAGCCAAAACAATTCTGAAGAACAAAGGTGGAGCACTCCCACTAGCCCATTTTAATACTTACTATAAAACCAAGATAGTGTGACACTGGTAAAAGATTAGACATAAAGATCAATGGAACAGGGCCGGCCCCGTGGCTCAGCGGTTAAGTGCGCGTGCTCCGCTGCTGGCGGCCTGGGTTCGGATCCCAGGCGCACACGGACGCACCGCTTCTCCGGCCATGCTGAGGCCGTGTCCCACATACAGCAACTAGAAGGATGTGCAGCTATGACATACAACAATCTGCT